GACGGGGAAGTCCAATCGGAACCGGAGCTGGTGGAGCGGTGGATGTCAGTGGCGGTGGTGGTGGTTGTGGAGTTGAAGCTCATGCTCTGAAGATCGTCGGCTATGTCGTCCAGCCATGGCTCCATCATGTATAGACTATAGTGTGTGTGTGTGTGTGTGTGTGTGTGGTGACGGCGGCGTGGTGGTGGCAGAGGGCGGAGGGCGGTGGGGGGAGAATGAAAAGCGTCGTGGGAAAGTGGGTGTGAGTTATTAAATATATATATTGGGAAATGGGAAGAGTTTATTGGGCCGAAAAAAAAGGCTGGGGCGCCGTGAGGGGGTGTTTAGCAAATTAGAGGAATTATAGGAACTTGCATTTATTGGGCCCGAGATGTAATTTTTTTTTATTTTATTTCCCCCTTTTTAGGCGGTTATTTAGTTTTTTTCTATATTTTTGGAATGGTTGAATTTGGAAACTAATAATATTTTATTATGTTAATTTAATTATTTAGTACGTGCTTGCTAAAGTAAAAGGCTTGATTATGATTAAAATTTCAAGTACTTAATTATTTTATGTTATTTTTTTATAAATACTTCTCTTCTGGAAATGTCGAAATATTTCAGTTTATCCTCTTAATTCTCGACGTCAGTAAAAAAAAATTACGATTTCGCCTCGTATTCAACTATATGAGGAGGTGCATTTATAGCTTCTAAACTTTACAAACCACATATTTATTTTTTTTATTTTTTATTCTTTGTTTAATTTATAAGAAGAAATAAAAATTACATTATTTAGCCAAAAACAATTTTGTACCATGCTCTTGTGGGTGGTTGCTACTTCTATCATTTAATAAAAAAGACTACTATGTTTTTTGCCTCATTTATATATAACTATATTATCTTTATTTTCTTTCTTTTTATTCGTTTCCTAATATATTTAGAATATTTTAGTTTTAATGACATCATTTATTCAATAAATTATTTTTTTCTATTTTATTGGGAGGTTATACTATCGCAGAAAAGACAATAAGGATAGGATTGACAATCGAATCATGTCAGTCGAGCTTGGATTGGATTCAGCTTACAAACCATCAGACCTCATAACTATAGACTCAATGTAATTGAGCCGAACCAAGCGAGCTTCAGTTAGGTCCGCTCAATTGTCGGTCCTAATTTTGTTTTTTTTCCTTTTAGAAAATTTAGGATCGATTAAGATTTGAGACCGTCTTCTATCCAAAAGTACAATCATAAATACCCTATGTACAACTCATGTGCGAAACCTTCCCATATTTAGTTCATTTTCTCATAATGTAGTTGTTTACCAAAAAAAATAGTATTAATTTGATATACTTGTAATTTATCAACAATAATTACTAGCTATAAATTAAATATATTTACAAAATTACCCATCTAAGATTTATATTTGCTTTAGATAAAAATCCTTAAAATGTGATTTTAATAAACCAAGATTAACTATTTATCAAATTCAAAAACTTAAATATTTTTTTCTGAATAAATTAATTACCGTAAATTTATCCAAAAAAATCAGACAAGTTTGTTTTGAGAAGTACATATAATTATATAAATATATATATATTTTATTACCACGGTTGGTATGTCACATAAAGTATATATATGAATATGATCATGTTATCTTGATTAGCATCAATCATGGGATTTCATCTTCAAACTAACCAGCACTCGATTGAATAATCAAACAATATTGTTCCCCATTTTTAATATTTTCTTTGTCGTTAATAAATAATAATAATATATGATATTTTAATTAAATTTCTTGCTTTTTTTGGTGTGTCCTCTATTGATAATAGTAGGGACAAAGAACCCGAATTAGAGGACCGGTTCAAAACTATGGTTTATGTGGGTCCATTTGGATCAATAATCAATAAAAAATCTTGAGATTATAATATATATATATATATATATATATATATATATATATATATATTAATTAAGTTTCTAGAAGAATTAAAACATATTGGACTTTGATTTAGATCTCGCATATGCTTAAAATAACTTACAAATTCATATGGTATTTGTATTTACAAATACCCCTAAATGCAACAACCCATTATAAACCTTAATGGAATATATGAATTGTCTAAATTATCATTTTATTAAGCAAAGGTAAATTACGGGTACACCTCTGAAGTAAGACAAAAAATTGCAATTACACCCTGTGGGTATATTACATTTACCCTACGGGTAGATTAATTTTATATCGAATATTCTATGTAACTTTCGGTATTCCGTTAGTCATAACTTCGTAAGGGTGTAACTGTTACATATAACAATAGTTGAGAAAGGTATTTGTAATTACCGATGCCACAAGAGTAGAAATTATTTGGTCATACCTCATGGGATTTCCCGTAATTTACTCTTACAAAAATTAATTCAATAAAAATCAGTGATCCATAACTCCAAAATTTATGCATGTATTTAATAATTATTGGTACGAATATTATTCGACTCGAAGTCTTGAATACCCTACAAACTGGCTTCGAGAAGTGTCACTTTGAATTCCTATAAGTACATGCACTTAATAAACCTTAGTTTAATTTTCCATATACATATGTGGTCCAAGACAATTGTACGGCAACCATATATTAAATGCTCATAATTTCTCGTATTCAAATTAAAAAAAAAAAAAAAAAAAAAGAAATCCAACCATAGTTTTGATTACTCCCTCCGTTCTTTAATAATCGTCTCTTTTCGTATTTGCACAAGTATTAAGAAACTCGATAAATGTTGTTTGGTTTTCGTAAAATTATATGCTCGAATATGTGCATAAATAAGTAACATATGATTATGTAAAGGGGATGTTAGATCCAAAAAACCTTTTGTCAACAATATTACAGATGGTTATTTAAAATATATAGGTAAGAATTTAATCAATTCAATAGTAAGAGTAGATGCATGTGACTTCATTTATATCATGCAGTATTTATTGGCTGATTGGCCATTCTCTTACAATGTTTTTAAATGTAAATTCAAACACAGCTTACATAATTCAAAAATGTTTTTCGAACCAAATCGGAATTAACTTTTTCGAAAAATTCAGATTAATTTTTGTCACATTTCGAAGCCTGAAAAACATAAAATCTGAAGTATCATATTTCGATGATAATTCCATTAAACTTTATATTTATTAAGTTCCCAATTAGCGAAATTGAAGTAAATGTCGAGACTATACGTAATTTACAAAATTTAGCCGACTATTTCTCTAACATGTCGAAGGGATAGTTTTCGTACATTATCCTAAGCTTAATATGAATCTTTTCTCGAATTTCAAATTCATTCAAAAAAGTAAACAAACTCCACAAACAATACAATCATGTCATTAATGAGAAGGAAGATGCATCAACTACTCATAACATGTCTGTAATTCTGAAATTATTAGCACTTAAAATGCAGAAAAACGAAAAGAAAAAAACGGGTTTTGCAAATTAAATTTGATTCCATAAACGACTCTCAAAGAACAAAAGACACATACTCATTCCTTCTTTCCAATCCCATTAGACATATTGTAGATTCCTCTTCCCTGCAATACAATGCAGATAACAATCAGCATCGGACTTTTTTTTTCTTTTTTAAAAACAATCAACATCGGACTTGTCAATTTATTAAACGAGGAAAAAAAGGGTACTTACAATCATAAAAAGACAAGAACCAGCCAAAGCGAGAGGAATGGCAACTGAGGTGACTTTGTCGAATGGTCCTTTTAGGTATGTGTGTTTATGAATGCTCTGGAAAAGCCTCTGCCTTTCGACGAGCTTCTCCCTTGGCCTAAAGGGTTCTTCAACCATACTCATCCTGCATCATTTGCACGATATTGCACATCAGTTTTATTTATTTAAAAATTCACAAGTTGCACCTTACACACACACCATCCGATCACAAACACACACACACACATATAATATGCATGTAAGTGGTATATATGTATATATATGTCTATGTAAACAAGATCGATGGCTTTTCAGACATAAAAATTAAAAATTAAAATTAAAAATATAAATAGCACAGAGATATTAATTTTAAATAAAAAGATACGAAATTGGGACATACAAAAGGCCAGGTGTTTTTGCTTCCCAATGAATTTTCATCAGATCATAGCACGAGACACTAATAAACAAAACTATTATTTTTTTAAATTATTTTCCACTACATATATATTATCAAAAATACATCAATTAATCAATTATTCATAAATAACTTTCAACATATGTGAAGATATGAATATTTAGAAGCTATTACAAAGCGAGCTTTCAAGCAGCGAGTAATTAGTCGTGCAAATTACCTAACCAATGGCTACAAATGCTTAGTGCTAAATTTTGGAAATGGAACACCTTGACCTCCTAGTTTTCCCGATGATGATATAATAGAATTAATTAAGGATTCAATTGTTCATGATGATATAATAATTGATTATGTGATGTTCGAGAGTTGCGATTATAAAAACCACGCACTGGTTGATATCCTTCACATGCTTGTGTAATAATAGGGGTTGAATTCGAACAAAGCATCCTCGTATTCTTGAACCTTGTTTTTTTTTTTTAATCATGGCTTGACAAATAAACCCCATACATTTGACAAACCTTACTTATATTGTCTATCAAGTCCTATCATAAATCTGAAACGAGCCTTGCTTTTAATTGTTTTAGTACTCTGCTGGTAAACTCGAGCTAACACACATAACTCTAAGTTGGTATTATCGGGTGCAAGAGCCCCGGGATTTGAAGAACTCAAAAGAGGTAAAAATACACAAGTACATGCATTCTCTGCAAGCCTAAATATAGATAAAATCCAAGTTCCAATAGCCAATTGCTTTACTAAACATACTAGAGGTACCGAAAATAGTAATCCATTAACCAAGCCACTGAAAACAAACATTCTTCCAGCATCACGTGTTCATACATATTAATCGGAGAAATACAAATGCAGAAAATGGATGACATAAATATAGAGAGTACACCCAAAACGAAAGCGAAAAAAACAGGCCACATTAGAAATTTCATAACGCATTACTACAACTACTAATGTCTTGTTTGGTTGCCAAGATAAGATTAAATAATCTAATGAAACCCAATTATTATATCCAAACCCGTGACATCCAACAAAAAAGCTCCCTCAAAGGCAAGATAAACCATGATAACGTAATACTTGCGGGTCGACCCAGCAAGTTATTGGGGGATACCAAACATCAAACAAGGGCCAATTATTTAGTTAATCATGGCTAATCTCCCCAACCAAACTGAGGCCTAAGAACATACTAGCATATTAAAAATATCCAAGACTATCAATTCACAAGGAGAACATTTTTTTTCTGACAAGCCCATAATTTTTTTTTAGATCTTCACTCGTTGGGAAATCAAAGGAAGTCAAGAACAAAACCATACACTGTCAATATATCTCAGAAAAACAACGATACAAACAATGAAAAATAAAATCTGTACTCCGATGAATGGATTGAATCTGATAAATCCATGGATGCCATTATTCCAAAATTCAAACACCATTTCTTTCAGCTAGGCACAAAATCAATATAAAAATTACACGCAAATAAACAGATTTTTAAAACCAAAAAATGAAGAATCTCAATCGTGTAGCGACTAACGATCGACTCGCCACGAAGATTTAAATCTAACAGAAAATCGAGCAAAGAACCCTAGGTGAGAGAAATCGGCAGCTATCGACGAATATACATGAATTAAAGAGTAAGGAAAAAGAGGATTTACCTGAGTGAGAGCGTTGAAAATAAACGAAGAAGAAAGAGATCGAGTGGATGAACAGCTGCGGATTCTCTGATCGAAAGAAAAAAAATAGTGTGAGAAATGAAAAAATGCGCACGCTTTGGAAAAATAGTGGAGAAGAAGAAGATGGGCCTTTAAAATCTGGTATGATCCGAATTGTTTACCCGTTTTCAAAGTGGGTCGATTGAAGGACCCGGATTTTAAAATTGAGCCCGAGTTTTTCTAATTGGGCCGATTGAAAGACCCGGATTTTAAAATTGAGCCCGAGTATTTCTAATTGGGCCTAAATAGGTTGCATGGACTTTCTTTTATTGCATGGCTAGTTTGGGGCAGCAGTTTAATTAATTCTTTACTAATTAAATATTAAAATAGATATTTGCTTAATTCATCTGATTAAAAAATATTTAAAAAAAATGTCCTAATTGTATTTATTTATTTGGAAGTACACTGAGTAGTCAAGTTGTTTTATTTTATTTAAAAAAAAAATTAATTGGCCTACAAACGAATCCAACGAGAAATAGAACCCGTGACTTAATAATAGTGATTAAGTTGTTTGATTGATATAGATTATATTAATACAAAAATCATTTAGGACTAAAAACATTGTCAATGCTTTCATTAATTATGACATGTTTTTAAGCTTTTTAGGCAACTAATGGGACCGGCTGCATTCAATCTTTGGATTTAATGAATTAATCCCAAATTCCTATTTGACCTAAATATAAATAATTAAAATTCAATGAACCCGAGCTCGATCTGCTTCGAGCTCATGAAAAATGACTCGAGCTCCATTAGTCGTATGGCCTTTTCATATCCAGTAATTCAAATTTATTTTAAGATTTTTCTCGGTAATGTCAAGATAATGTAGCCCGTTGATAACCGGTTACCTTGCATCTATAATTATTTAGTCATGGGTTCGAATTACTGAAGGAGAAATTGAGGAATCAATAACCATCCTATTTGAATTAAGAAGCAAAAGTAAAAAATAAAAAACATATTAATAATTAAAATTTAAAGTTTAAAAAGTGAATCATAAATTAATTGGAACCATCAAATATATATAGCCACCCTTCTAGAAAGCATCAAATAAAGTAAGCCGAGTATAGTATATAAGACAACATCCTACTATTTATAGCAACAATTTTCTTCTAGACAGGGTCAATTTGTTTGAAATTAAGCAAAATCTTGATTTTAATGATAATAAAATTAAATTAAATAAAACGATGCAATATTTGTGTAAAACAATGGTAAAAAATCATCCGATATAATTTTCATCGGGTGCAATATAAAAATAACCTTCTTATGCACGATGAAGTGCTCAAGGCATTAATAACACTCAATTATTATTTTATATATTTATTCGAGAGTTCAACTCCAAAATGACTAGATGCAATTTAAAAAAAAAAGTTAATACTTTTGTTATTAAAAAGTGAAATTGTAAAGTATTTTACAAACCCATCTACTTTTTTAACAAAATAAATGAACAAAAAAAATAAAAAGACCAAATCGTCCTTATCTCTTTTTTTTTTTTTGAGTAAATTCAAGTCCATTACAAGGGAAAGTAGGGGAGGGGGACTCGAACCCTAGACCATTACCCTATTGGTAAAGGCTAGGTACCAACTCTCCTAATGAGGATTGGTAAATCGTCCTTATCTACCAACAATATTTATTTATTAAGCCAACAAAAGGAAAACGACGTCGTCTGGAAAGGAAGTTTCTGTCAGCTGGTCAGCATAGCACAACCAAACACCTCCCTCCTTTCATCATTAGTCAAACAATAACTGCCACTATTTACTAAATCTAATCAAGAAATTACACTAACCCATCCAATGCCCACGTGACACGTGTCTAATTACACACCCTTTTGTCAATAATGCTTGCACCTCTGTTTTTGTGGCCTAATTTTGACCAGACTTCAGTCCCATATTACCACCCCGCCACCACCATCAAACTGTACTATGTAAGAAATCTAAGTCATACATACACACACATATATGTATCTATATATATACATATATAAATATATATATACACGTTCACAATATTATTCTCTCAAGAAAATATCTGAATTTCTCACTTTTTTTCAAACAGAGAGAAACTGCATGCATCCATAAATATATATATTCTCTCACTCTTGTCAAATAGTTTCTCACTCTAGAAAATCGATCGGAAATGGCGGCGGGGCTGGTGGCCGGCGGCGACGAGCTGTCCCGGACGATGAGCAGCAAGCGGAGCTGGCGGTCGCAGAGCATAAGGGAGGTGTGGCAGGGGCAGCCGGACGTTTTCATGAGGAGCAGCACGCGGCGGCAGCAGGAGAACGACGAGGAGGAGCTCCGGTGGGCCGCCATCGAGCGGCTGCCGACGTACGACCGGATGAGGAAAGGTGTGCTCCAGCAGGTCATGAGCAACGGCAGGATGGTCCACGCCGAAGTCGACGTGGCGAACCTCGGCGTGCAGGACAAGAAACTGCTGATGGAGAGCATCCTTAAAGTCGTCGAAGACGACAACGACAAGTTCTTACACAGACTCAGAAACCGAACCGACAGGTACTGTATACAGTAAAATCTCGATAAATTAATAACCTCACTTAAATAAAAAAAAATACCGTCCCGACTCGGTAAAAACGTACTAAATTAATATTTCGCTGAATTAATAGAATTTCGTATGTCCTGACTGTAATAATTTATAGAAGTTTAACTACTGTATATAAAAAATAATCTAATTAATGTGGATTTTTTTAAATATTTAATTTTTTTAATAGGGTTGGAATTGAGATTCCAAAGATTGAAGTGAGATTCCAGAATGTATCTGTAGAAGGAGATGCTTATGTTGGAACAAGAGCACTTCCTACACTCATCAATTCAACCCTCAATACATTAGAGGTATATATTTTATTTTATTATATTTCGAATTTGTTATTTTTCGAGTAGTATACAATATTTGGTTCATCGAACAAAAAAATATAGTTCATATTTTTCGATTTTGTCGACTTGTTTGTCTAATTCTAACATGAGTAATACATAAGTATAACTGATTTTTAGACAGGATTATATTACTACTATTTGTGTATGATATGTAATTAATTTTGTTGTAGTAATTAATTTAAAATCATTAATTAATTAGCTAATTAACCTGGATTTGTGATAATCATAGGCTGCTCTAGGCATGATTGGGCTCTCTCCATCAAAGAAAAGAGTGGTTAAGATACTTCAAGATATTAGTGGAATTGTTAGACCATCAAGGTAATTAATTAATCACCTTTGTAAATTTCAGACAAGTTCCTTTTTTTTTTTGGCTTTTGCTAATTGATTTTCAATTTTCGAAAAAAAATAAAAAAATCGACGATTTAAAAATTTTCAGGATGACGCTGCTTCTCGGGCCACCGGGTTCGGGAAAAACGACTCTGTTGAAAGCACTCGCAGGAAAACCAGATGATGATATGAGGGTAATTTAAAATATAATTAGTGTGCAAAACTTTTTCGAATATATCGATCAATTCGGTTATTTATTTCAATATTTTCTCGATATATAACTAATCTTGATTTTTTTATTTTTTTGGAATAAAAGGTGAGTGGCAAAATCACTTACTGCGGGCATGAATTCCACGAATTCGTTCCTCAAAGAACGTGCGCTTACATCAGTCAACACGATCTTCACTACGGTGAAATGACAGTTCGAGAGACGTTAGATTTCTCCGGTAGATGCTTGGGAGTTGGAACGAGGTATGAAATGCTCGTGGAATTATCGAGGAGAGAGAAAGAAGCCGGTATTAAACCCGATCCCGAAATTGATGCATTCATGAAAGCCACCGCCTTGATTGGCCAAGAAACGAGCTTGATCACCGACTATGTCCTCAAGGTTCGTTTTTTTTTTCCTTACATTTTCGTTTTTTTTTTTTGTGTGACAAAAAACCGATATTTTGATATGACCTTGAACAGATACTAGGTTTGGACATTTGTGCCGATATTATGGTCGGAGACGACATGCGGAGGGGTATTTCCGGTGGACAGAAAAAGCGTGTCACCACCGGTACGTTAATATATATTCTAGAGAAATGTTAATTATCTATGTTCAATAAATATATATTAATAAATATATATTAGCCTCGCCCTTATCCTCGCAAAATTTTTGGTGCTGCACTCCGTCTTGAACTATGGTGAGCTACCCCCCTTC